GATATTGGCGAGTATTTGAGGATGGAGAATCAAAGTGAGCAGCTACTTGAAGAGTGAATTGGGTATTTCGATGCTAATCGGTTTTGGGTTTTGAGGTTGGATTTTACTGTACCTTTGGGAGCTTGGTTCAACTTATACTCTGTTTTTTTTTCTTATTTTAAATATTTGCTGCTTCTTATGTTACCATCCATTTGGCATAAGCTTGTGTATTAGTCTAAATTTATGAGTGATAGAAATGTAAGTTCTTTTTTTTATCATTATCGTTGCAATTTGTCTGTTGATTTATCTTAGGTGAAATATGAAAGATTCGAATTTGGATTTTCATAACATTGTTTAACATTCTGCTTGGTAAGCTGGTTTCTTCTTGCCTGAAACATATAAATACCATGGGAATAAGTCAAATTCATTGTTTGGCCATCATCACAAGACTATGTTTTGATTTTTGCTTTTCAATTGTCTATATAAATCTTCAGGGCATAATTATTTCAGATGAAATCTTCCTAGAGGTTTTGGTTTGTTAAGATTACTTTTATTGGGTTAATTTGTCCCTAAGTCCAATCTGTGTAGCAGTTTTCGAATGGATTGGTTGCTGATAGATTTCTTCGATGATAGACTCAGTGATTCGTGTATTCTTGTTTTGTTTGTGTATTTTCTCGTATTATAATCATGTTTGAGGTGTTTCAATATATCTTGTCATGTTCCTATGTTCATGTCATATCTAATATTATCTTCTGTGAAACTATGAAAGATTTGACTTTGGATTTTCATAACTTTGTTTAAGTTTCAGCTTGGTGGTAGTATAGTTTTCTTATTGCTTCAAACATATGAAAACCATTAGCCAAGATTGGAAACTGTAATTGTGCGAATAATTGGTTGTCTTTTGGCTTCCGCATCAGAAATCTTACACCAGATGATGTCTTTATCTTTGTTTTTCAGTTTAGTCCATGTGAATACTACCATTATTTGACATGATCTTGTTAAGATTAGGTTTACCGGGTTCATCTATCTCTATACTCAAATGTTGAATGTTTAGAAGTGTTCCAATGGACCTCTTTGATAGTAGACTCGCGAATTCGTGCATTCGTATTTTGTTGATGTACTTTTTCGTATCATAATCTTGTTGAAAGGTGTCTTGTGCATGTGTGTTTGTATAACTTTCGGCGTGTTCATGTATCTGTGCCATGTCCGCAATTACCGGTTCTATTCGACATGTTCATGCTCTGGTTCATATGTTTAACACAAAAGTAATATATATTCACAATATTCCACGCCTAAAAGATGCAAAAGAAGCGCAATATTGCTTCATATGCATGCACATTAATGTAGGTTGTCATTTCTATGAATTCTTTTTATTTGATTCTGTCATTTCATGGAATGGTTTACTTATAATCTGACTTTTACAAATTCTTTTCTTTTGTTAATTATTAATATATGATGCATTTAATTCACTCACGTTCAATAAATTATGGAATATATTGTCCTGAAATAGAATTGGTATTTTAACATTTTATCAAACATGTCTTTTGAAAAGAAAATAATAATCCTATATATATATGCGCGCATAAAATTTTTATAAATATTTTTGTGTCATTTTCGTTTACCATACTTCCAAAAAAAAAATATCTTCGCAATTTAGGCCTTGACAGAACATTTTTAGACATTGAGTCTTCAGAGTCTTGCATCTCTTTTGGGAAGGCATGACCCTTTATTTGGACTTTTTGGCAAAACATCTTTGTACATAGGGTCTTCGGAGTCTAAAGTCTTGCATCTTTCTCGGGAAGTCACGACTCTTTATTATGAATTTTGACAAGTTTCACATAATTTGTCAAATCACAATTGATTGACAACTAGCCACATCAATTTGAGTCCATCTACCTTGCCAGTTCATGAATAGTTAGTAATCTTACATTTAATATGAACATTGAAAGTCACTATAAAATCTTTCACAGTAAATTTTTTCTTTTTACTAACCACTCATTTACCTCCTTATGAAAATATAAGACCTTGAAACTAACCATCGGTCATTTTACCATTAATCGCGATTTCTTGTTTAAATTAGAAGGGATAAATCACCTATTAACAACGTGGCATATTTATTCTTATCAACAAATATATATATATGAATTAGGAATTGATCCTATGTTCCAAATGTCTTTAGTACCTTATTCTGAAAATCAATGTGAATAGTCTAATTCTATATTATTTTAATCAAAGTTGGGCATAATTCGAGCACTAGATTGTATATAGATAAGCAAAGTATTCTTGATTTAAACTTTTGTTTTTAATTATATTCCTAACAATTAATTATAGAGATTATACCAAAAATTCCTTTCTCTAAATACTCTAAAAAAAGTTCCAATTGATATCCGCACAATTCCCCATTGAAATATACTCCAAAACTTTTATGGACCCAATGAGTTTATATCTCTTCATTCGTTTTAACATATATGTTTGTGGAGAATAAGTTCATCTACGTTAGAGACGGTCCATTATTATCATTTACTAATAAAATATTTAGTCCACTAATAATATATAATATTATTAGTAAATCAGATGATATTGTTCTATTAAAATATTTTAAAATATATTTATTTATTTCAGTGGCGGATCCAAAAATTTAAGAATGTGGGTCCAAAATTTTAATTTTCTTTTCTTAAAAATAATGGATATGCAAAAATTGTATTTTTTTTTCTTTTTTCCTAAACACATTAAGCTAATTTTAACTACTTTTCCAAAATATCCGCCACTGATTTATTTTTAATTTTAATTTTACTCAAATATTATTAGTAAATATTATGGTGTTAGTGTCGATATGACTACCTTACTTTTAATTGTAATAAGATCACATAATTATTTGAGTGGTTTCAATGTAGCCACTCACTGTTAAAAATAAAATGCATAGTTGACGTGATTATTGTTGACTAACGATGAGTCAGATGTCCACATTAGCTACACCATCTGTTTTTAATGGCAAGTGATTATATTGAAATCACTTAAATATTTATGTCGTTATATTGCCACAACTAAAAATATGATAGTTGTATCGATACCAACCTCATAATTAACTGATCATTTAAATACTTTACCTTGAAATTTAACTGGATGTAATCATATACAATTTTCACACATCATTATCATGATTATTTCATAATTATATTTTTAATTTTGTGTATATACATTACTATTGGCCTTACAAGATCAAATTATAAGAATAGTTACATATTTAAACAAGTTTAAATTTACAACTTCTCAATTGTATTACAATAATATGACGTCAACTGAGCTAAGATGAAAATTTAAATTTACTTTTTATTTTACTTAAAAATATTTTATAGAATGAGATTTTAACATTTAATCCAATTTAACTCTTATTTAATATTTATTTTTGATTAAATCATTCAATTCAATGGACCAAACTTATAATTCAAACGAATATACTAACACAATTTTTTTTAATAGTCTAGGATGATTACAACGTATTATCTGATCAGAATTTTTCTTAGTCATTGACAATGCACACACAATGTAACTATTTGAATCCAAGACTTTTAGGGAGAACAATACTTCATTTAACTATTGAATTTACTTAATGAGTTCACCCATTTAGCTTTTTAGTTGGATCTTTTTAAAATTTAGTAATTAAATTCAACTCGAAAGCCTCTATAAATGATGCTTGTGGAAATATTAAGGAAAAAAAGAAGAAGTTAGGCCAAAGTTAGAAAACCCCACAATGGTGAAGTTCACTGCAAAATAACTTCTCCCATTTCCCAGCCACTCGTACAATTGAGAATCTTTTTTTGTTTTGGTCCCATTTCATTCCCTTATAATCCTCACAAAAAACCATTCACACACTCACTTTCCCTTTGTAGAAATTTTCTATATTCCAAATATGGCTTTAGATCATGATTATATTTTTGGAATAATTATAAGGTGATATTTGTTCAAAATCTTTCTTAGCTATTAACAAGGCACATACACTCTGTAGACATAGATGCTCGAACTCGTAACCCTAGAAAAAACAATACTCCCTTTAACCACGGAGATCAACTTAGTTGGTTTATAGTCAAAGTTATAGTCTATTGAAAAATGTAATTTAGGACTTCAATTATTTTGAAATTTTAAAAAAAAATATCTCTTAAAATGTGTTGTCAAGATCAGCTATTTGAGGCTACACAATACACAACAACATTAAAAGCCCATATATAAATCTCATGTATAATTGAACATGTGACTTCTCTCTCTCTCTCTTTTTTTTTTAAAAAAAAATCTCTCATTCTAATACCATTGTTTATCATATTCTATTTTACAATTACAGGATTACCGATCATGACTCTGCACCTAAATCAGAATGAATGAATTGTCAATAATCATCCTAATATATATATATAATTGAACATGCACCATAGTTTAAGGAATATATTTCAAAATTTACTTGGCATTTATTCACGTGGCATATTAAAACCAATGGATATTTTATTCCAAATCGAATATCTATAGCATTTAACTCCATGATACGTAGTCATGTGTATGGTTACGCCCACAAATACAGTTTTATATTATTACACACTTGTTTAATATGTAATACATATGCTTATGTCAAGTCATTTTCGTTTAGGTTTCTCTAGAACTAGTCTCACACAATCCCAATTATATTTCTCTACAAAAACAAAGACATAGATTCCCATTTTGGGTTTATTTAAAAGACTTGCAAAAAAGAAATCTGATTCCTTCCAATTCTCTTATGCCCCACATAGTTTGTACAACTTGTATCTTTACTAACTTCAATTCAGATTATTCGATTGTAATATGATATTATGATTCTTACTTCGTGATTTATTTTTACTGTAAATATTTATTGTATTTGATCATGATAATCTATGTCGGCTGCAATTTAAATCTATATCGAACTTTTTCACATTCCACTTGGGGGCTACCTACCTGTGCCTAAACATCCCTATTCCATCCCTCAAACCACCCTATATATACCCTACAATCCCATCAACCCATGTACCCCATCTCCAAGAGCTTTGCTTTAGGCTACTATAATCTTCTCTTTGGCTCCGTCCACTACTTGCAAGTTTTCTTCTTAGACAAAAAAATGTCCGGTGTTTGGGTTTTCAAGAACGGCGTGGTTCGCTTGGTAGAGAACCCAGGGGTTGAGTCATTGGACCGGAGCCGACAAGGTTGCAGCACCCGCAGCAAAGTGCTTGTGCACACTCCTTCCAACGAAGTGATCACTTCCTACGCAGTACTAGAGCGTAAGCTATGGTCTCTCGGATGGGAAAGATACTACGATGATCCTGATCTCCTCCAGTTCCACAAAAGATCCACCGTGCATTTGATCTCTCTCCCTAAAGATTTCAACAAGTTCAAGTCGATTCACATGTATGATATCGTCGTCAAAAATCGAAATGTATTTGAAGTTAGGGATATGTAACTTATGCAGAACTAATAAGCAAGCTCGTATCCATCTTGATTTCTTCTTCTTTCTTTGCATTTGGGTATGTGATGATGGATTTATTTTTCGATTTTGGTATTTCTTTGTAAAATATACATATGGGATTAGGGTTAAGGCAGAACGTTTTTGCTTGATACGTAACTCGTCATCCTTTCTGTAACTTACTCTTGTGATTTTGAATGAAAATCTACGTCTCCTGGTGTGGTTAAATATTAAATATATTTTATATTTGTTTTATTGTTTATGTTCGAGAAGTATTATAAATTCTATATTTACGAAAATTTGGATTTTAGGACGTTCTCACACAGTGGAGTTGATCCAGTGTCCAACATGGAACCTGACATGAGAGAAGGGATGGTCCGAAAACTGTGCGTGGGATAATAGTCTTATTACAAATTTGAAATTAACATATATTTTAAATATTTTATTTATATTTTTAATTAATAATTTATTTATTTTATCATAAAACCTAACATAAAATTGATAATCTATCATTGTCATGCATGATATTGAATTAAAGTAACCTTGGGTTTGAAACTGAAAGCTTTAAGTAATAGTTACGGTAGTGAATTTGAGGAAATGTGATTAAGAAAGTGTCCGACTGCAAACGACTGTTAAAGAAACAGGACAGGACAGGACAGAAAGAAAACAAAGGAGAAAAGATTCACTTTGCGTCCAATTGCTTACCAGCAACGTGGTAATGCTACGTGTAAACCCCGAAGTAAACATGTCAATCCAAAGTGTTTGGGGTTAAAAGATTGAAAACGTGATCGGACAAATCAAATATTGTTTCCTTAAGTAGACAGAGTGGTATACATTGTATAACTTCTGTAGGATATATGGATTATTTCTCATTGATTGAAACCTAGATGTAATGATTTAATTCACCGACGATGTATTTTAAATTTAGGATTAAGTACAAAAACAGATAAGATATCGTTTTATTAAATTATTTAACTATTAAAAATTATAAAATAATCTATTCACTATAAGATATTATTTTGTTAAGTCTTCTAACCATTAAAAATTATAAAATAGTCATTCAACTATTCATATGTTCCAAATTTATCATTTTTCGTTAAAAGATAGCGGTCATCTAAGTTAGACATTGATATGTTGACTAGGATATGATAAAATATGATCTTAGAACCGTTTTAAGTTATATTTTGTTTATTGACTCTCCGTTTACGTTATGCCATCGAGTCAATGTTTGAAATATTATGTCGTTGAATCATTGTTTGAAAGCAACGGCGATACCGATAGATATAACTAAAATATAATTTTATCATATTTCAATCAACATGTTAATATTTAGCTCAGACAACGGTCACATTTTTAACAGAAAATGATGAGTTTTGAACATATGAATAGTTGGGTGACTATTTTTTTATCTTTTAATGGTCAAGAAACTCAGCAAAACAACACCTTATAATTAGGGGACTAATTGTATATTTTACCCTTAAATTTATTTTTTTATTAATCTAGAGCACATACAATGTATTATCTGTTTAAATATAACTCTCAACCATTTGACATTGATCGCTCACACCCTTAGCATTCCTCGAAAAGAATAACAACAATTTCTTTACAATCGATGTTGCTTGATTCGTGCCCTTTAATTTAATTAGATTTTAGAGAAAATAACTTGGGTGACCGAAAATAACTTATAATAAACGATTTTAACCAATTTTTTTTGGATTTGCAAAAATAACCAACGAATTCGCAACATGAACTCCAATTTCGCAACACGGTTTCCGAATTCGCAACACATAATTTGGAATTCGCACACAAAAGACAAATTCACAACTTGAATTTAACAATTTCGCAACACGAATTTTTTTTTCGCAACTCGATTTTCGAATTCGCAAGGCGAATTTAAATTTCAAAAATTAGCTTTTAATTTCGCAACACAAATGTAAATAGTATATCCCGTAAATCGCAACTCATAACCTAAACCCCTAAATCGCAACTCTCACAGCCACCCTCCATCTCCATTTCTCACGGCCACCTTCTCACAACCATTCACGGCCACAAATGGAAAATCAACGACCGAGGGTTAGTTTTTTTAATTATTTTATTTTGAAAATTTTGTATTATTATTAGATAATTAATCATTTTCCATATTTAAATTGATGTTAAATTTACTCGTAATTTCAATATATAGATTAACCATTTCACTTAGATTGCTTAGTAAATTCATTCGGTTGCTGCCAATACTGCTAAACAGTTTAGTCTTTAACTCTGTGAAGTTAGTATTTGTCTTTGTTTTTTTTGTTGAAGTAATGCACTTCATTCAAGCTTCAATTTACAGAATAATAGTAGTTTATTTCAAGAAACTTAAATTCGCAACACGAAAATCGCAACTCGAAAATGAAATTCGCAACTCGAAAATGAAATTCGAGTTGCGAATTCAAAATTCGACTTGCGAATTTCATTTTCGAGTTGCGAATTTAAGTTTCAGAATAAACTATTCTTCTAAAATGTTGTCCTTGAACCTACACTAAACATATATGTTGTTATTTTTGTTTATACTTATGCTTACTTCTGGAATGTTATCTGATGCATTTTGTGAACTATTATAGGAAAATGACTTGGGTGAATACCAAGTTAGTTTGAAACATATTTGGCTATATTTTCCTTGTTTAATATAATGTTTGTTTATTGTGTATAATTTGTAGTTTTTGATATATTATTAGTATATTTAACTTAGTATTTTTATTATTTTTGTTAGGAATTTTTTTCGGCTGCATTGTTTTTAAGGAATAAATTAAGCCTAGTCACTACAATTGCGTCGACACTTACACCTGTCCAAAGAAATTTGTTTGAGAATACTTGTTTCGGGCCAAGACTGAAAGTACAACATCCAAGTGGAGATGCTTTGTTGGCTTATGTAACACCCCCAACCCGTATCCGACCCGGATACGAGTCCGAAGTGTCACATTGACTTTTCAAACCTTGACTCTTAAGAAAAATCCCGGGAAATTTAAAACTTTATTTAAAACAAAATACAGACTTTATCAGAGTGCTCGTACTTAATGACTTATTACATGCCAACACTTTATACATAACCAAATACATACTTTGTCAAATATTTCTGATCTGATCTTTTGGTAAGGAAAACTGACCTGTCTTGCTCCGCATCACTCTTTACTCTTCTCGAAACCTACGTGTGAAACAATCACACGCTAAGTCGAAGACTTAGTGAGGCATAACAACTTATAATGCACTTTAAAACATATATCGATACATGCATGTTCTGTTCTATCATGTTATAGCAATTCCATACATTTTTCATATCGTATAAAATCATATCAGATTAATTGCAGTAAATACATACATACACATAATTCATCATTAACATTTTATCATATAATCACATACTTTTTCAATCAAACACTATACACACACAACATCATATCATTTCTATAGCATTTATCATACCACTAACATATATTTGTTCATATCTCCGGATTAGCCCATGTACGTATGTGAGAACTATCGATATGTGAGTCTATAGAGGTTGTGCACTAATGATGTCACCACAGCTCGTATAATTGCACTGAAGTGCCGCGTAGAATTGCACCGTAGTGCCATATAATAATGTCCATAAGGACCACATAGAATTCCTTAAGAATCATATACATATGCTAGGGATCAAGTATGTGTCTTTCAAGACTTCACACATGTTCCACAGAATATATATATATCCCGAAGGACCGCGTAGAATTGCACCGTAGTGCCATATAATGATGTCCATAAGGACCACATAGAATTCCTTAAGAATCATATACATATGCTAGGGATCATATATGTGTCTCACCAGACTTCACACATGTTCCAAAGAATATATATATATCCTGAAGGACCGCGTAGACCCTCGACTCTTGGCATGCCAACTATACCCTAGCTCTCATGACACATAACATGGGCGTTATCATTTATTTCATTTCAGATATTCACATAAACTTGTAATTCACTTTCACATATCACGTATCACGTAGCTTCTTTTCATATTATCACATAGTCACGTAGTTCACTTACACGTAGATCATTTCCATATAATTCACATGTCACATATGTCATGTTTTCATATAATTTCTATCATTTCTCACCCAATCACCTTTATTCATGTAAACATACTTATCATATCTTGTTCACATAAGATCATATACTTCATATAATATATCGAAACACCTAGAACACTTTCACGTAGCTTATAGTCATAGGTCTTATCTCATAACATATACTTGTTTTCACATATATATTCATATCATTTCTTATACCCTCACATAATTCATTTAACATACATAACATATTATGTAACATTATAATAGAAATACCTATAAGTCATATCACTTAGAGCACACATATACTTATAGTCACATTGCTTATATCTTAATCTTATGCATTCTCTTAGACATATATATATATATTCACATGTTCAGGTAATCCACCATTTCATCACATAATTATGTATTCATATAACTCATTTCATTTCATATCCATCTATATAAATATATATTCTCAAGATTTATCCTAATATAAATCATATAGCACTCTTATAATTCATATTCATATTCATCTAGGGCAGACTTATAAACACATCTCACTTCTATTATTTCTTTATATATATATATATAATCTAATCTGTTTACTTAATTCAATTTCATATAACTCCTATAATCTTATCATATAACTTCATAAATTTCTATCATACAACCCATGTGTTATAGTTTTATTTAAACATATGAATCTTTCCCATATAGCTTATCTTATATGTTCATCTTATCATTTATGTTCAAATCTCCTAGTTAGTGTACTATTCTCACTTCATCCTATAGATCAATATTATCCAGCTTATTTCACTTATCATATAATAATAATTATTTTACTATGATCACATAGTTTATATCTCATATAATTCATAACCTTTATGTAATTACTTATACTTTCTCACCTAACACATAAAAGAACAGATCAATCCATATAATCAAGCATACATACATACATATTCAATTCATGCCTTTAATCATGCATTCATGTGTAACACTTCAGGAAATAGACTCATCGCAAGTCTTATTCCCATCGCACATCATATACTATTGAATATGCACTCACCTGGGCCTCGTTGTTTG